CGAAAGTCTAAGAACGCCTCTTTTAATGATGCTAAAATAATCGTGAACTACAAAAAGGAATTCTAACAATGTGGAAGCTTCCATTTCAATCTGATTGGATTTGTAGGATGCTATGAATTCAGTTACCTATTATGGCATATACACTTTATAGACAAAACGTAAAGAAGTGAAAAGTCTTTACAACAACAAAAAGCATTATTAAGACATTTTATTCATATACAGATTCTCCTAGTAGTAGAAATGTAGGGTATAGGCAAGAAAATAGCAATAATACTAGTAAAAAGTCTTTAATGTCGCCAGTGATCTATTTTTTTTTTTTTTTAGGAAGCAGAGGCAATTTTGTTCCCACTTGGTTATCTCGTGTCTCCAATAAAGGTCACTGTAATATCTTTCAGAGTTATTGTCTGAATTCTGATATACATGCTAAATGGTACAACTTTCTTTAGTTTTTTGTCTAGGAGTATGAACTTTTTTTTTTCAAGGGAAAATTCAAAGAATTAAAGTTGAATTGTTTTTCTCTAATCTTTTATTAAGCTGAAATCTTATGCTGATCTTATTATTATTATTTTTTTTTACTTCAGAAACTCTACAAATACAATTCTTTTTTAAAATTAAGCTTTCTTCCCTGATCTATAATTTAATAACATTTATAAAATTATTTCAAGGCTAAGTTTCTCGTATCTTCAATGGTTTTAGTTAAAATTATTTTATTAGAGTAGCAGTCTTGGGATCTTGTTCTCAGCAGCTACAGTTTCACAGAAAAATGGTTCTTTTACCGGATCTTATATTCTTTAAGATGGTGAAGTACATTTATTTTATTTGCATATTCTGTTGAAGGCTAAATGATATCTCCATTTTACTAGTTGTAATGACTTTACATCCAGATGGCAAAGAACCTACAGGACATGTAACTGTCCTGGTGTGGAACTAACACCTACCCACATATTCTCATGCCCAGCAATGGCCTTAGCCTTGCAGAAAATTGACATTGACCCAGAGCAGCAGCTTTACACACCCAAGATAGTGGACATTGCAACTGCTGTAAAAGAGATGCATGGAGACATCTAAGGCTCTTCATTGGACACGACAACAACAATACAGTATACACACCCAAGATAGAGAACATTGTGACTGCTGTGATAGAGATGCATGGAGACATCTGAGGCTCTTCATTGGACACGACAACAACAATACAGTATACACACCCAAGATAGAGAACATTGTGACTGCTGTGATAGAGACGCATGGAGGCATCTGAGGCTCTTCAATGGACACGACAACAACAATACAGTATACACACCCAAGATAGAGAACATTGTGACTGCTGTGATAGAGATGCATGGAGACATCTGAGGTTCTTCATTGGACACGACAACGACAACAATACAGTATACACACCCAAGATAGAGAACATTGCTGCTGCTGCTGTGATAGAGATGTATGGAGACATCTGAGGCTCTTCATTGGACACGACAACAACAATACAGTATACACACCCAAGATAGTGGACATTGTGACTGCTGTGATAGAGATGCATGGAGGCATCTGAGGCTCTTCATTGGACACGACAACAACAATACGGTATACACACCCAAGATAGAGAACATTGTGACTGCTGTGATAGAGATGCATGGAGACATCTGAGGTTCTTCATTGGACACGACAACGACAACAATACAGTATACACACCCAAGATAGAGAACATTGCTGCTGCTGCTGTGGTAGAGATGTATGGAGACATCTGAGGTTCTTCATTGGACACGACAACAACAATACAGTATACACACCCAAGATAGTGGACATTGTGACTGCTGTGATAGAGATGCATGGAGACATCTGAGGTTCTTCATTGGACACGACAACGACAACAATACAGTATACACACCCAAGATAGAGAACATTGTGACTGCTGTGATAGAGATGCATGGAGACATCTGAGGTTCTTCATTGGACACGACAACGACAACAATACAGTATACACACCCAAGATAGAGAACATTGCTGCTGCTGCTGTGATAGAGATGTACGGAGACATCTGAGGTTCTTCATTGGACACGACAACAACAATACGGTATACACACCCAAGATAGAGAACATTGTGACTGCTGTGATAGAGATGCATGGAGACATCTGAGGTTCTTCATTGGACACGACAACGACAACAATACAGTATACACACCCAAGATAGAGAACATTGCTGCTGCTGCTGTGGTAGAGATGTATGGAGACATCTGAGGTTCTTCATTGGACACGACAACAACAATACAGTATACACACCCAAGATAGTGGACATTGTGACTGCTGTGATAGAGATGCATGGAGACATCTGAGGTTCTTCATTGGACACGACAACGACAACAATACAGTATACACACCCAAGATAGAGAACATTGTGACTGCTGTGATAGAGATGCATGGAGACATCTGAGGTTCTTCATTGGACACGACAACGACAACAATACAGTATACACACCCAAGATAGAGAACATTGCTGCTGCTGCTGTGATAGAGATGTATGGAGACATCTGAGGTTCTTCATTGGACACGACAACAACAATACAGTATACACACCCAAGATAGTGGACATTGTGACTGCTGTGATAGATATGCATGGAGACATCTGAGGCTCTTCATTGGACACGACAACAACAACAATACAGTATACACACCCAAGATAGAGGACATAGCGACTGCTGTGATAGAGATGTATGGAGACATCTGAGGTTCTTCATTGGACACGACAACAACAATACAGTATACACACCCAAGATAGTGGACATTGTGACTGCTGTGATAGAGATGCATGGAGGCATCTGAGGCTCTTCATTGGACACGACAACAACAACAATACAGTATACACACCCAAGATAGAGGACATTGCGACTGCTGTGATAGAGATGTATGGAGACATCTGAGGTTCTTCATTGGACACGACAACAACAATACAGTATACACACCCAAGATAGTGGACATTGTGACTGCTGTGATAGAGATGCATGGAGGCATCTGAGGCTCTTCATTGGACACGACAACAACAATACGGTATACACACCCAAGATAGAGAACATTGTGACTGCTGTGATAGAGATGCATGGAGGCATCTGAGGCTCTTCATTAGACACGACAACAACAACTTTTTATCAAAATCTGATAATATTCCATGTTTATACAAGAAACAGCCCTGGAATCACAATTCTTTTAAATTTGAGGGGAATGATGTGATATCCCCTATGTAGAAAGGATGGAAAATATAAGCTGTGGTGCATAAATAGCTTCATGGCAAACAAGACCTACTAAGGAAGCATCTCTATGGCCTTTGTATCCATTTATGGAGCATTATCTGCACTCTAAAAATAGAACCTTTTCGAGTTCCGGGATCTTGTCTTGGGCAGTTTCTCTTTTGTTCGTTCTGTGTTGTTTCATGGTAAAAGAAAGGTACATTTATAAATGTGTCCTATTGAGTTCTGTTCTAAAAGAAAGTTTTTCTACAAGAAATTGGTTGTTTTCTCTCCCGTATCATATCAATCAGCAGAATGTTTCGATCCGTAAAATGTTTTGAATGCTTGAAGCTACCGCAAATATATTTGCACAGACCATAATCTAAAATTCTATATTAAAGATTATTTTTATATACATTCTATCAATATTCTATCTTCTATATAAAGAAAAAAAAAACGTATTTATAAAGAGATATATTATCATATATCTAATATTATTATATACCTGGTTACTTGCACTCACTGGTGGGGTTGGACTTTTGCAAGAATCGGGGGCCATTGGAGCATTTTTTTTAATCAGAAAAAAAGTGCCCAATGCAGGAATCGAACCCGGGTCGTAGTGGTCGAAAACCAACGGTTTAGACCATCCTTCCACCGATCCACACTATATATAATCTAATATATATTTTTTTAAAAAACAGACGATGATGTATAAAATATAATTTTAATATTTTTTACTTATGAAGAGAGAGGTTTCTCTAATTATTATTTTAAAAATTTAGTATTATTATACCCCAGAATACTACTAATCCAAACAGATGAACAAATGTAAAAAATAATCACCTTTTCCCCAAAAACATATATTATTTTAATAAAGAAAGAAAAAATCACAAATATCAAAATAAAAAAATATATATTTTACAAAAAGACGATCGTGCAATATCTAAACAAACGAAAAGGATATACAAAAATATTGTACATGTTCATAATGTTATCTATAAAAAATATATCTATGTTGATTCATATGTTCTATGAAAAAAAAACAACATCAAAGCAATTTAAAGATCGAAAGAAAAAACAAAAATCAAAAGACGATGATAGTGAAATATCCAGTCAGACGAAGGAAGCAGGTATGGTCTGGTGGAGAAAACATGGCCGTTCACCTTCAGAGGTTGATGATGGATGGTTGGAAGAGATTGGCTGACCTTTCATGGCAGGGAGTCTTATGGCACGGGGGGAAACCATGGCCAGAAATTTCCTTTTTTCACACTTTAATTAATAATATTTCTATATTATATAATTGACATACTATTTATTACTTATTTAAAAAAATAATTATTAAAATATATTTATCTTCTACGTATGTATTAAATTATTCTATGAATATTCTAATTTAAATATTATTCTGTGAATTTTTCTAAATAAAATTGGCAACGCTGTTACATTAAGGATTATATGTAAAATTAAACCAACAATTCGAATAATGTGAAAAAAATAGTAAAATGTGACATTGTATTGGGATAAGGTTCATAAATTAACAAAAAGGCATATCCTTATCGTGTAACTCTCCTTTCAGCAACTTTCAGTTACACGATAAGGAGATGTCTTTTTCTTAATTCGGATAATGCCTTGGTTTTCTACGAATGCAATTTTTATTCGAATGTATATAAAATAAAGAGTTTTTACAATCAAACTTCAATTAGGCACTTCCTATTACTGTGATGGATTCATCAATTGTAAGGTAGTTGAGCATTTGGAAGTCGTTGTTAACATTTAAAATCCAATGACATATTAGCTCAGTTGGTTAGAGTGCCGTGCTAATAAGGCAATGGTCGTGAGTTTGATCCCTCATGGGTCATTTATTATTATTATTATTATTATTTTTAATGTGAGCAAATGAATATATCTCTTTATTGGAATTTTGAGTTATAAATTAACTATTCATTATAGTAATTATTATCTACGAAAGGGATTTTGCTCCCCATAAACAATCAAACGGAAAAAATGTTCACTTCTCTAAATATATAGATAATACCCGTTCTATGAATAGATCTAGAACAACAGCTAGGCCTTATTGAAGTTTTACCCTAATAATTTCTGGTTCGTTTCCAAGGTGACTAACGTGGCAACGGCACCCATTTTCAAATTTGCTGTGATAGAGATGCATGGGGACATCTGAGGCTCTTCATTGGACACGACAACAACCCTAATAATTATTTTTTATTATAATTATAGAGTACCTTTATATCTCATTATTTGCTACAGATGGACGAAAAGTCTGAAGAATTAATACTATTAGATAATAGGGTATATTTTAATAATAGAAAGAGTTTGTATGCTTAATACAGGTTTAATATAACACGCTTTTTAAAATTAAATTAAATTTAATTGCCATCTATCGTTAAAATTTTACACAAATAAATTTACTGGCAATGCGCTTCTTTTAAATATCATCAAATATTATCTCTACAGACCTTACTGCAATGATGATTGCAGTAAGGTCTGTAGATATAATATTTGATGATATTTAAAAGAAGCGCATTGCCAGTAAATTTATTTGTGTAAAATTTTAACGTTTTTTTTTTTTATGTTTATAGTAATAATAGAACTTTTATGGTATTCTAAAAAGTTTGTTCAAAAAATGTTGAAAACATAAGACACCAAGCTATAATTTAAGTTAATAAGAAATATAACTAAAGAAAAGAAAGAAAGCGATTGTATCTCGTCTCTGATTGGCTAGAGATCAGCTGCAGACGATGCAGGAAGTTGGTCACCAAACGATGGCGCCTTGCAGGGACCAAACGGGTTCTGAGATTAATGTAAAATTAGGCGACCCTGGGTGGAATCTTCTGTCCCGGTGACTGCCATTTGTTTCTTCTCAGCACTGTACCCAGATCATTTAGATTTCTTTATTTTCTATCTGTGATTTATTCTTCTTTTTTTTTATCAATGAAAAAAAAAATTCCAAAAGAAAAATTTAAAATAGGAATTTTATTTTAAAATATGTTTTCCTTATTATTATTTTTATAAATATACCATATCTTTTTTTTTTTTTTTATTGCGTGGAATTCTTTTTGACGGTTATATAACATTTTATTAATTGTTTTCTCAAAATGTAATTTTAATTGGTGTGTGTAGCCTAATCGCTCTTTTTTTTTTTTTAAAAAGTGTTTGCGTAAATAAAGATTATTGTGTGTACTACATTATCTTTTGTTAAATATATATATTTTCACTCTCTGGTATACAAAATTTGAGGAAAAAACAATAAAATTATTTTGTTTAATAACAGAAACCTTATTTTAAAGGAAATTTGCATATATCACATATATATATATGGTAATATGCAAATACGAGAATGATCTCCTGGGATATTTCTAGGTTAACAAACTCAATAGAGTTCTTGGTCGACCAGATGATGAAGCAAGGACCATAGGTACAAGGTCAACTTCGCGTTGCTGAGTGCATCAATCAAATTCATTGAAAACTGAGAAATGGGTCTTAATCATTGCTTAATTCAACCAAATTTCAAATAGCCTCATGGAATAAATAACTTTGAAATAAGATTTAGTGTCATATCGGCATTTTCCCCAAAGAATAATGGGAGCTAATGGGAAATTTTAGACTTCCTAACGCCAATCAATATCATAAGCTTTGGTAGACTGATTTGAATGAATACTAGACACTGACTACCCAGTTGATGTTGGATAAAGAAATAAAAGGATATCATAGGTATTTCTAGACTTTCTGAATCCAATCAATTTCGGAGGCAATGGTATTCAAATGTATATAAACACTAGACTGACCGTCCATCCAATCAGAACTTCAAGTGACCATCAAAGGTCGGTTAAAGGAAGAATAAAGGGAGATCATAGGCATTTCTAGACTTCCTAAACTCAAACGATATCATAGGTAATGGTAGACCAATAGGTATAATCATTAGACTCACCACCCGGTCAAATATTCAATTGACCATCAAATGCTGAATGGATGAAGAATAAAGTGATCTCATAGGCATTTCTTAGACTTTCTAAACTCAAACAGCATCATAGGCAATGGTATACCAATGTACAAACTCTAGTCTGACCATCTAGTCAATGGTTGGATGAAGACAGAATAAGGACAGCTCTTAGATATTTTAGATTTGCAAAATCCAAACAGGCTCATAAGAAATGATAGAACAATGTAACAATACTAGATACCAAACATCCAGTTAATGGTTGAATAAAGACTGTTTAGTAGGATAACTTGTTTGGTGGTATAAAGACTTTGGTTGGATAGAGAAAGAAAAAAGATAGGTATTAGATACATCTAGACTACCTAGATCCAAACAATATCAGAAGCAATGTGATAGACCAATGTAACAATACTAGATTAGCCATCCAGTTAATGGTTAGAATAAAGACTGTTTAGTAGGATAACTTGTTTGTGGTGGTATAAAGACTTGGATAGAAAAAGAATAAAGATGTGTTGAGATACATCTAAACTAACAATCCAGCTAATGGTTGGATAGCCTGATTGGTGGTATAAAGACTTTGGTTGTAAAAAGAATAAAGATAAGTGTTGAGATACATCTAAACAATTATAGACCAATGTAACAATATAACCTAACCATCTAGCTAATGGTAGGATAACTTGTTTGGTGGTATAAAGAAAGAATATAGACACATCTAGACTATCTAGATCCAAACAATATCACAGAAACAATGTAACAATACCATCTAGTGTTGTAACGCCTAGATAAAGAGTGACTATATCTTGAAACATATAGTAGAGGAACAAAAGTATGAAATGGCGAAGGAGAAGTCGTGACGGCAGGCAGATAATGGTAGCATTGGCGCGTGCCACAGTTCTGCGAGCTTCCGCGGGCAAAAAGTCCTGGGTCGTAACCCCGAGACGAGGTCGTGTTGTCTCTGGGACAACGTCCTCTCTCATCTCTCTCTCTCTCTGGAAATCTTCACCATCGTCGAACGGCTGACGTAATCCTGGAATAGATATAGGCTTTCTAATCTAGAACCGTCGTGTTCGGTTTCACAACAGTGGTATCTGATGTAAGACTTGGTTAACACCATACACTAGTGTGTCTTTGTGTAAGTGATAATTCAAATAGTTAGTTCTACAAAAGTATTGACAACTAAAAGCCTAAAGTATAAACAATTAGCAGAGAGAAAAAATATATTTCAATATTTATCAAATAAAACAAGTATTACCTAGAACAATACTCCAAATATATTTATTAAGCCAAGACAGCTATGATTTTTATTTAAAGATTTAATTTGGAGATTTGAAAATGGCAGATATATGGTATGGGGAGTATAGAGGCCCAACTTGACAAAGTTTTGAATAAAACTTGGGGAAATTGGGATATTTAACTAGATTGGCTAGATTGTGGAGGTTTTAACGGTTGTGAATGTTTGGAGGTAGCACGCTAGGACTGTACCTCCTGGGGGTTATCTAATTAGTTAATCTAATTAGCAGAGAGAGAGAGAGATTAAGATTGAAACTTGCAGCTTATCGGTGTCAGAGTCTTAACACGGTGGGCGCTACCAATGAAGACTTTATATACCCATATTTATTCATATTTATATATTTAACTTTGATTCAAATTAATCAGGTCTCCAGGGAAAAGTGTCTTTAAAAATGTTTTGAATTCTCTATCTTTCGGGTACGGACGCCCTTCTAAAGGCGAAAACATGGTATAATAAGAATTATTATAATTATACCAAGTTTTCTCCTGTAGAAGGACGTCCATGCCCGAAAGCTAGACAATAAAAATGTTTTGAAAAGATACTTTTCCCTGGAGGCCTGATTAATTTTACTCAATATTGATGCAAGGGATTATTTTATGGAATATTCAACTTTATATAATCTTATATGGACATTGTAATAAAAAGTAGTTTCAATCTCAGAGAGAGAGAGAGAGAGTTAAAGTACACTTATAGACAAAATCCTCCGAAAATTACGAGTAATATATCAGTAAAATAATCAAATACAATCTTAAAGAAGCTTGATAGATTAAACTGGTAAAAACACAGAGAGGGTAACAACTGATTAGCAAGGAACCTCCCAATATTTTTATTATGCTAAAAAAATACTCTCATAGTAGGAAATTATTTTATTTTGTATACAGAAACGATCGCTCTAAATAGTTCACATTTTAAAACAGAGATGGCGCTCTTTCGGCTTATATTCAACATTTTTTAAATAACATTATAGTTATCTATTTATATTTAAAATAAAAAAGGCATATCCTAACCAGGAGCACATGTGCTTTTTTCAGAAGGCAGAGCGCCATCTGGTGGAACAGAAATCAACCAAACATTGATTTAGCCTGTTCCCTGATATTTGGCCAACCCAATTTCTTGATAAATCAAGAAAAGCCATCCACAGAAATTGGGTTAGCTAAATATCAGGGAACAGGTTAAATAAAGGTTTAGTTGATTTCTGTTCCACCAGATGGCGCTCTCTGCCTTCTGAAAAGCACATGTGCTCCTGATTAGGATATGCTTTTTTTCTTTTTAATATCAACACCTGACCTTTTTATTTTATTTTTTTTCTCTATTATTTTTCATATATATATATATATGAAAATTCGAAACTATTATATACGCGTATAATTCTTCTAAAAATTAAACAATTTCTACTGCCCTTACTGCAAATGGAAAAATTCCATCCCATTAATTTTTCCATTGCAGTAAGGACAGTAGGAATTGCTTAATTTTTAAAAAGAATCATACGCGTCTATAATAGTTTCGAATTTTCATAACAGATGGCACGCTAATGTATCATTGTTATTACAGTATTGATATAATGGAATTTTAAAACCAAGTTACATAACGATATGCAACAAGGAATAATAGAGAG